GAGAAAGCAGAGAAAAAGAGCAAAGCCTACAAGAAGAGTGGGTGGATTATGGAAGAAACCTTAATGTGAGGGTCATAGGTTACAAGAAGGGAAGTAGCACATTCAAGTTGGAAAATATTTGAAGTGATAATAGAGGAATAAATTTCCCAGCCTGCTCAAAAAAATCTCGATATACAAGTAAGGAAAGGCTCAGAGACCCTGGGAGATTCAATGCCGAAACAGGAAGATGTCACCACATGCAAGTCATTCAGACTGACAAATATCAACTAAAGAGGCCCTTCTAAGAGCTGTAAGACAGAAAGAAGCAGTAACATTACAATAGAAAGCCAATCATAATAACACCAGACTTCGTCTAAGGGATTACAGCAAGGGGAATCTGGCCCCTATCTTCACTCTTCGGAAAACACCAATGCAGCCGGAGATCTTATTCCCGCAAAACTAGCTTCATATATGAAGAAAATAAAAGACGTTCTCGACAACAAATCTCAGAGAGAATGTCACCATAAAAGACACCCCTATGAAAACTACTCAAAACTGTTACACACAGACGCACCATGATAAAAACTCCATGAATATAAAACAAGCCAAACCAAGATCAAGACCAGATAATACAAATGCTCAAGAGAGAAATCAAGCAACAACATAACCCTACAGAGATGAAACAATAATCTACCTGGTAACTATTAGGTTCTCTCAATTAATGTAAATGCTTAACTCTGCACCAAGAGACATAGGCTGGGGTGAGGATAAGGAAATAAGGCCAACTTATGTGTGTTTCAGGAAACACATTGTAACCCTGCAAGGTATGCATATAAATAAAAGTAAAAGGGTGGAGATCAGTATTCGGCAGGCAGTGGGGAGTCAGAAAAAAGGCTGGTGTGGGCAGTTATAATTTCAGACGATTTTAGTTTTTAAGACGCAACAAAAGTAGTCAGAAGACAAGGGTATGGTCATATGGTTATATAATGGGTGAAAAAAAAAAGAAAGAGCAAAAAAGAAAAAAACAAAGGCGCCCGGCCAACCAAAAAAAACAAAAGAAAACACCCCGGCACATTCAACAGAAGAGATAACATTTTAATATTATAGACCCAACTAGGTGCACCCGTTTCATAAAGCAACCTTACTGGATCTAAGCAAAATTGATTAATATGCAACTCCATAGAATCGCCGGAGATTTCAAAACCCACCGACGGCACGAAGACAGATCCTCCAAAGAAATTAAAAAAGAAATAAATTGGACTTAAACAAACTCTAGAACAGATTTGGGTCGACTGGACATTTTCAGGACATCTCTACAAAATCCACTGAATATATATTTTCTTCTTCAGATCACGGACTTCTTAAGATTGACCAGGTATCCTCAGGAACCAAAGTTAAATCTCAGAAATTAAAAAATAGTATCATACTGTATCTTTCTCAGATCACAGCTGGAATAGAAAGTGAAATCTAACACTAACGGAGACTTCACATTCTAGACAAAAAACGTGTAAGATTAAAAAACCATTGACAATGAGGTTACGTTCATAAATGAAGAAATGAAGATGGAAATAAAAAGATCTATGAACCAAATGACAATGGAGAGACAAGTTAGTAATCTCGGGTACCGCGATGAAAGCTATTCTGAGGTAGGAAAGTTATCTCCATAAAGCCCTATAACCAAAGGTCAAAAAGATCATCAATAGAGATATAACGGAAACGGCTCAAAGAGCTGGATAAAGAAACGACCAACCCCGACAGAGCAGAGAAAGGAAATCAAGATCATCAGAAAAACAAACTGAAAACAGGAAGCTATTCGGAGATGAATAAACACAAAAAGTTCGGTTTTGAAAAAAATAAACAAAATTGGACAGCAATGACTAAGCTAATAAAATCAGAAAAGAGAAATCGTGTAATAAGCTCCATCAGGAACAAAAAAAGGAGATTATCAACATCTGTCTAAGAGATACAGATATAATTTATGAATACTACGAAAATCTTTATGCAACAAACTTGGAAATGTGCGAGGAATGACAGAATTTCTAAAAACACAGCTTCCCTAGCTCAAGCACGATAGAAATAGTTTTGCTGAACAGAGCCAATCTCAAGAGCTGATAGAACCCAGCAATTAAAAGATCTCACCGCTAAGAAAAGTCCGTCCAGATGGTTTCACCGTTTACCACAGTTACACAGAAGAACGCATGTACCTATCTTGCAGAATTATTCCAAACATCGAGAAGGACATTACTCTGACTACAAACAGGGAAAGGACTGCACAAAAAGAAAATACAGACAATATCCCTAATGATATAGTGAAAGACTTTAACAAATCTGGACTACTGAATCCAGATGCTACAAAAATACATCCGACAGCTCGTACCAGGACGCCGTGTGGTTCACATATGTAATCTGTTAAATGCATTCACCACTAACAGAAGCAAAAAAGACCACATGTTCCTTTCAATAGGTGCAGAAAAAGCTTTTGACCAAAATTCAGACACCTTCATGATACGAACACTAATAAAATACGGCATAGAAGGACATACTCTAAAAAGATACCAAGCCATATTATGACAGCTATGGCCAAATATGTGAATGGGGAGAATGAAAGCATTCCTGTGGGGGCGCCTCGATGGCCCTTCGGCGTCGTCCAGTCAACAAAAAGGAGGTATTCCCCCCTTCGTTGAAGTAGGTAGCATTAGAGAACAGAATTGGTTATACTTCCGATACTCTTATCTCTTGGGTTGTGAAGAAAGGCAAAAGGAGGTGGATGCACAGGACTCGCGCGAATTCAAAGAAAATGTAATCACTTCAAAGGTGTCGATGGCCAGCGCGTATAGTTTGTGCCTTAGCTAGGCCCTTTGGGGGGGGGAATAAATGCACCCCGCAATAGGTCAGGGGTCCTTCCGCAAGGAGGCGACACTGTGTTGGGCTCGAGGTCGGACCCTGGCTAGCGAAATTAAACTCTCTGAGTGATTGCATCCTTGGTGTCTTGTTCGTCTGCCTGCTGGGTGCAGAACCGTCCCTAAATTCCCACTTAGAATGGAACCAGACAGGCTGCCACTTCCTAACTCATTTATTAACATAGTGCTGGAAGTCCTGACCTAGCAGCAATCAGACAGGAAAGTGAATTAAAGGTACCAAATAGGGCTAGAAGAGATCAAATTCACTGTGTTCGCTGATGATGATGATATTATATTTAGGAAAAACCCCAAAGATTCAACGAATCCTGGACTGATTAATGTTAGAAGTCTCAGGATACAAATCATACACAAGATCAGAAGCATTCAGTATACACTAACAACATGAAATTGAGAACAATCAACACTCAATTCGCCTTCACAATAGCAATAAAGAATAAAGTACTAGGAAAAATTTTTTTTTTTTTTTTTTTTTTTTTTTTGTTTTAATCTTAACCAAGGGTAAAGAAGACTGCGTACAGGGAGATACGATAACTTGTGGAAGGAATAGGAGAAGGATGGTAAACAGATGGATCAGACCTGCTCATGGATCGCAGATAACATCATTTAAAATGTCGGATACTACCCAAATGATCTACCGATTCAATGACATACCTATGTAAAATCCATCAGCATTCTTCACAGATATAGAAAAAAATATTTTATGCCTTCGTATGGAGCTAAAGGAGACCCCAAATATCAAAAGCAATTCTGGGCAACAAAACAAATGGAGGCATTAATATGCGCAGAGTATTCAACTAGACTCAAAGCTGTGAGAATAGTAAACAATCTGGTATGTGGCTCAAAAATAGTGAATATGACCCAAGTGGAACATGTCTGAGGAATCCCTTTTTGAGTATAAAACCCATCCTCTATAGCCACGTCTAATCTTGGTTTTTTTTAGACCAACAGGCAAAAAAACATACGCTGGGGAAAGAATCCTTTCAATAATGGTGGCTGGGAAGTGGTAGCACTTGTAGAAGGCTAAAAGCAGACCCACACCTCACCTCTCACAAAAAATAACTTCACGCTGGATACAGACTTAATAAGGTATGAAAACTATTAGATCTAGAGGAAATGTTGGAAACACTACTTCCTAGACATTGGGCCTAGGCAAAGAGTTTTGAAGAAGTCCCCAAAGGCAATCACAGCAGTTTAACAAAAAAATATTGGAATGATCAAACTTAAAAAGGCTTCCTCCACAGCAAAGAAACAGTCATGGAAGAAGTAAACAGAACCTATAGAATGGGTGAGAAAATTTTTGCATCCTTACCAACATTCGATAAAGGGCTGATAACTAGATATACTGGAGAACTCACGAAATAAACGAGGAAAAAATCAAATACCCTATTAAAAGTGAGCAAGGATTTGAACAGAACTTTCGCTAAGAAAGACAGAAGATGGTCAACAAACATATGGCAAATGCTTTCAACATCTCTATTCATCAGGAGAATGGCAAATCAAACACTATGAGATATCACTTAACTCAGTGAGAATGGCCTTTATCAAAAGTCTCCAAACAATAAATGCTGCGTGGATGCGGATGAGAGAGGAACACTCTTACACTGCTGGTGGACTGCAAACTAGTTCAACCTCTGTGGAAAGCCAATATGGAGATACCTTAAAGCGATACAAGTGAATCTACCATTTGATCCAGCAATCCCATTGCTTGGCATCTACCCAAAAGTTCCAATGACACTCTATAAAAAAGACACCTGCACTCAAATTTTTATAACAGCACAATTCATAATTGCAAGGTGTGGAAACAGCCAAGTGCCCATCAATCCAAGAATGGATTAATAAAATGTGTATATGTTATACCGTGGATACTATTCTGCTCTAAGAACAATGGTGATATAGCACTTCTTATATTTTCCTGGTTAGAGCTGGAACCATACTTTAAGTGAGTTTTCCAAGAATGGAAAAAACAAGCACCACATATACTCACCAGCAAACTGGTATTAACTGAGCAGCACCTAAGTGGACACATAGGTACTACAGTAATAGGGTATTGGGCAGGTGGGATGTGGGAAGGGACGGGTATATACATACATAATGAGTGAGATGTGCACCATCTGGGGGATGGTCATGCTGGAAACTCAGACTTGTGGGGGGAGGGGAGAATCGGCATTTATTGTAACCTTCAAATCTGTACCCTCATAATGTGCCGAAATAAAAAAAAACAACAACAAATAAACAAACAAAAAAGAAAGTCAACCCAGATCTCAGCTAAATGTTTCAAAGTTCTCAAGAGTTTGCCTGGAAGCTAATGCAATTCTGAAGAAGAGGCTGCTATTAAATCTCCCATCTTCCCACAGATCTAGCTACAATATCTCAAAAGAAAAAATGGCTTCTCCTGTTTTGACCTTCCAAAGGTCACATAAGTGTCCTCCATTACCAAATCATAGAGGAACAGGATTCTGGGAAATGTAGTTCCTGGCTTCTCTGCAATGAAGAAAAGTCTTAGAAGAGGGGTAGTAATTGATGTCAGGTTGACAGCAGACAATCCAGTTTATGGACCTACTCTACTTCTCCACAACTTCCTCCTGGAGAGGCCCCAAATCTCTTTCCCAATGTAGACTTGCTGTGTTCACACATCCTAGACAGTAGCCTGTGAATTTCAGCAGGTAACCTTTGCAGTCTGACCATGTCCTCAAAAGCCAGACTGTGCAGGGCTTACGTGGTCATATGTCAACCATGTTTCTTGCTAAGGGGCCTTTGCTCAGCCCTTAACTCTTATGGATAAAACTTTTGATAGGGAATTGGAGAGTATAATGGCATTATAGACCTTGGATGTCCCGGATAACAGGCCAGTCTGATGCTTTTAGGAGATGGAGAATCTCAAGTAGTTTGAATACTTACGTAAGAAGGGCTTAATTAAGCAGTATTTGCCATATTCGTTCCTCTCTGTGAGCCAGCCTAGCTGTTGTCATTTCCAGAGCAGACAGGATCTGTCAGCTAGGGGAGTTTAGACAGGCCATAGGGCAGGGAACCCCTAGGATTTCTCTGTTTTCTCACATAATCTTTTCCTTATTTATTTCAAATACTTCTTTGTTGAGCTGATTCCAAGGATGAAGGGTTTGGGGAGGAGGCGGTGCCAGAGTTAAGCAGCACTAAGTAGGGTCACACTAAGGTTTGAGTCCTCTCTAAGTCTCGGTTTCTTCATAAATGGAGAGAATTGATCCCTCCTTCGGAGTTAATCTGAGGCCTAAATAACAATGCATTTACTCAGCTCACGGCCTGCTATATACATTGTCTGATACATGTTAACTTTTTTAAATTATTATTTTCTAGATCTTCTGGGTCCTCGAAAAGAATGAGGTTTGTTCACACTTCATCTTTCTATAAGGAATTAAGAAGTAAAGGAGAGCTCACAAAAAGTGCCTATAGCTGCCTTATGTTGAGTTGGAAGGTGTACTCTGACTTGGTGGGGAAACCAGATGGAACTCAAAGACCTAGTTCTCATTCCCTCAGTGTCCTCAAAGGGAGAGCCTTGACCACATTTATTTCTCTGAAGTTTTTATTGTTTTGTTTTGTTTACTTTTTTATTGAGGTCTAACAAAATGCAGTAAAGTGCACAAGTCTTAGGTGCACAGCTCCATGAATTTTTATGTATGAATACAATTGTAAAACCACCACCCAGATCAAAATACAGAACATTTCTAGTACACCCAAAGGCTATCTTGGGCCCCTTCCCAATCAATCCCCTGGCCTTCGCTCCACCGCACCCAAAGATAACCACTACTCCAACTTCTATCACTATCAGTTGGTCTTGCCAGTTCTTGAACTTTGTATAAATCAGGCATCCTCAAACTACAGCCCACGGGCCACGTACGGGTGTTTTTACCCGTTTGTTTTTGTACTTCAAAATAAGATATGTGCAGTGTGCATAAGAATTTGTTCATAGTTTTTTTTAAACTATAGTCTGGCCCTCCAATGGTCTGAGGGACAGTGAACCGGTCCCCTATTTAAAAAGTTTGAGTACCCCTGGACTATAAATGGAACTTGTGCCTGGCTCCTTTCATTCAACTTTTATGTCTGTTAAATTTATCCGTGTTGACCCATGTATCAATAATTCATTCTTTTTTATTGCTGTTTTTCATTATATGAATATTTATTAATCCATTCTACCATTGATGTACAGTTTGGGGCCATTGTGAATAAAACTGCTATGAATTTTCTCATAGTATCTTTTGATGGAAATCTCTGCTAGGTACACATACCTACAAATGAAATTGCTGGGTCAAAGGGCAAGCACATGTCTAGCTTCAGTGGACTGTTTTCCAGAACATGTGTAAACATGTTACCTCCACCCCTGCTAGTTTTTGAACATATCACAAAGGAGCTTCTCCATTGGAGTGTTCCCTATGGTCTTGCGGAAAAAGAGGAACTCGATGCGTTCAGAAGTGATAAACCTCAAAGACGGGAGGAGTAGGAGCAATTTCCCAAACCTGAGCAGGAGAGAGCACACCATCAGTTTTATCGCCAGCTTCTGAGCACTAGTTCCCGGGGTGGTGCCCTCCCAGGAAAGGCAGGGGAGGACGGAGAGGAGAGCTGAGAGGCACCTAGGCTGGGTCAGGAGGAATTTTGAGGGAAGGCCCCATTTACTAGACGAGTTGCCTCCACCTACCGCTGACGCATTGTGAGCCACTACCAACCCCCTTTAGTTTAGGAGTGGGATGAAAGTGATGAATAAATCTTGTTTATTATGTGTAAAGATTAGAAAGTAAGAAGTTATTTATATTAATTCTATACAGACGGTACAACTTTACCATGGTGCGGAAGCAATGAGCATTCAGTATACTCCTCGACTTACAAAGGGGCTATGTCTGAAAATGCATTTTCTTTTTCTTTTTTTTATTTTTTTCCAGACAGAGTCTTACTCTGTTGCCCGGGCTACAGTGTTGTGGCATCAGCCTAGCTCACAGCAACCTCAAACTCCTGGGCTCAAGTGATCCTCCTGCCTCAGCCTCCCAAGTAGCTGGGACTACAGGCATAGCTGAGCGGCGGATTGCTCAAGGTCAGGAGTTCGAAACCAGCCTGGCAAGAGCAGACCCCGTATCTACTATAAATAGAAAGAAATTAATTGGCCAACTAATATATATAAAAATTAGCCGGCATGGTGGTGCACATGCCTGTAGTCCACTTCGGGAGGCTGAGGCAGGAGGATCGCCAGCCCAGGAGTTTGAGGTTGCTGTGAGCTAGGGCTGACGCCATGGCACTCACTCTAGCCTGGCACAAAACGAGACTCTGTCTCAAAAAAAAAAAAAACAACAAAAAAAAAAAAATACTACCATAGAATGCGAATAAAATTATTTGTAACTATAATACTGATAAGAATTAGATTTCTCAGAATGTAACAAAGAATGCACAACTCATAATAGCAACAACAAAACAATGCACTCAAAAGTAGTCAAGGACTTGAACTCTTTACCTAAACAAGATATTAAAAATGACTATTAAGCACTATGAAAGATGCTCCAATAGTTCATTGAATAATGTGGAAACTACATATCAAAACCACAATGAGGCATGGAAGAAAGTGGGGCGTTGTTGCCAGAAGGATAACCGTGCAACAGACCTACTGGAGGTGGTGT